GATGAGGCATACTCACGAGGAAGGACTGGGACACGGTGTAAGATGAGGCATACTCACGAATGAGGACTGGGACACGGTATGAGATGAGGTATACTCACGATGGAGGCCTGGGACACGTTATGAGATGAGGCATACTCACGAGGGAGGACTGGGACACGGTATGAGATGAGGCATACTCACGAGGGAGGACTGGGACACGGTATAAGAAGAGGTATACTCACGAGGGAGGACTGGGACACGGTATAAGAAGAGGTATACTCACGAGGGAGGACTGGGACACGGTATGAGATGAGGCACACTCACGAGGGAGGACTGGGACACGGTATAAGAAGAGGTATACTCACGATGGAGGACTGGGACACGGTATGAGATGAGGTATACTCACGAATGAGGACTGGGACACGGTATGAGATGAGGCATACTCACGATGGAGGGCTGGGACACGATAAGGCACACTCACGAGGGAGGACTGGGACACGGTATGAGATGAGGCATACTCACGAGGGAGGACTGGGACATGGTATGAGATGAGGCATACTCACGAGGGAGGACTGGGACACGGTATGAGATGAGGTATACTCACGAGGGAGGACTGGGACACGGTATGAGATGAGGCATACTCACGAGGGAGGACTGGGACACGGTATGAGATGAGGCATACTCAGGAGGGAGGGCTGGGACACGGTATGAGATGAGGCATACTCAGGAGGGAGGGCTGGGACACGGTATGAGATGAGGCATACTCACGAGGGAGGGCTGGAACACAGTATAAGAAGAGGTATACTCACGAGGGAGGACTGGGACACGGTATGAGATGAGGCATACTCACGAGGGAGGACTGGGACACGGTATGAGATGAGGTTTCCAAGTGGCCGTGGACATGGAGAGCTCGTCAGCGGCGTAACACCTCCACAGACATTGGATCAGGTTGGCTGCGGGGATACGCCTACGGTTGAGATGCTTCTGTCGCTGCTGCTGCTGGACCTTCAAGGCAAACCCAGAACCGAGGATCCCCTAAGAAAAAAAACAACAACAACCCAGTATCTTCATTTGAATATCATATAACAGATAAAACTGGGGCTAAGTCCTGTCTATTTGGCAGCCGCTGTGGTCTAGCAGCTAGACGCTCGCATGCAGATCGGAAGGTTCTTGGTTCGGTTCCTGACATGGGCCAACCTAGCCTTGAGTGGGTAGCAAGTAGTCCCGGGAAGTAAAGTCGGCCGGCGTGATGCTTACCACATTACCCATTATGTGTCTTTTTGTCTATAAAATATAGATCAATACCTTTATACCCAATACGCCTGAAAGGGTCCTTTACTTTTTTACTTTTCCACTGTCTGTTTGGGCACACGCGCCCACAGACGCATGTAAACATAAACACATACGGTAACAGACACAGACATTCACACATGCATATGCTCAGACGAACGCACCTACATACATGCCCGTAGGATCCATTTGTGGCTCAAGAATCGATTATTCATCAGGGGGTAATTACTCTGCACGCCCAACGTTATCTGTTGGTTATGGGTGTCAGGAAATAATTACCTTCACACTTCTTGGGCATTCATATCACTGATCAAATGTTTACTGCAGCTGGTGCCAGAGATTAAATAATCTTCTTCTTCTTCTTCTTCTTCTTCTTCTTCTTCTTCTTCTTCTTCTTCTTCTTCTTCTTCTTCTTCTTCTTCTTCTTCTTCTTCTTCTTCTTCTTCTTCTTCTTCATCTTCTTCGTCTTGATCTTCTTCCTCTGCCGCTGCTGTTACTGCTTCTTTCTTTCTTTCCTTCTTTCTTTCTTTCTTTCTTTCTTTCTTTCTTTCTTTCTTTCTTTCTTTCTTTCTTTCTTTCTTTCTTTCTTTCTTTCTTTCTTTCTTTCTTTCTTTCTTTCTTTCTTTCTTTCTTTCTTTCTTTCTTTCTTTCTTTCTTTCTTTCTTTCTTTCTTTCTTTCTTTCTTTCTTTCTTTCTTTCTTTCTTTCTTTCTTTCTTTCTTTCTTTCTTTCTTTCTTTCTTTCTTCTTCTATTCCTTCTTTCCTCCTCAGCCGTTTTCTCCACTCTTATTCTAATCTCCTCCTCCTCCACCTACTCTTTTCCATCTGTTTCGTTAATCTTCATCTTCCTTCGGCTTCTTCTGCTCATGCTCCTGCTTTTTTTTCTTTGTTCCCTCCTCTATTCTTTGTCCCTCTCCTCATTCTCTTTTACTTCCTTAGATAATTCATCCTCCCGTATGATCCTTGGGTGGCCCCATGGTGGTGAGGGTAAGAGGTGGGGGGTGGGCGGTTAGACCCCGTGCCTCCTTAGTAAGCAGACGAATTAGAGATTGTCTGTGAAGTCGAAGTGCGTCTGTCCGGGAGGCCAGGAATCAACAGTCGGCACACAAATATGACAAATCTGAAAAAACGGATATGCACGCAAAACTCAAATTCTGGGACAAGGCTTAAGTCCATGAGGGAACAAACTTTCCATCTGAGTTAACAGCCTGTAAGCGTGAGGCAGAATGAAGAAGAGTATATACCACATCCTCCTCCGCATCCTTCAGTTCTTTCTCCTCTTCTTCGCCCTTTCTGTTCTTCTCCCCAATCGTCCTTCTCCTTTTCTTCCTACTCTTTTCTTGTTGTCCTTCTTGTTTTTTTTTTGTCTTTCTACTCTTTCTTCTCCTGCTCTCTCCTTCTTCCCGTTACTCATCCTCCATCTCCTCTTGTGCGCCTTTTTTTTCTTCACGAAGCCTTCTCATCTTCAGATTCATTCCTGATTGTTTTAGCTTTTTCTACTTCACTTTTCCACGTGGCGGGGTAACCAGTATGTTACGTGACATGGAGAGAACACCACAACGGTTACTGTCCAGTGCATGTTACGAGACATGGAGAGAACACCACAACGGTTACTGTCCAGTGCATGTTACGAGACATGGAGAGAACACCACAACGGTTACTGTCCAGTGCATGTTACGAGACATGGAGAGAACACCACAACGGTTACTGTCCAGTGCATGTTACGAGACATGGAGAGAACACCACAACGGTTACTGTCCAGTGCATGTTACGAGACATGGAGAGAACACCACAACGGTTACTGTCCAGTGCATGTTACGAGACATGGAGAGAACACCACAACGGTTACTGTCCAGTGCATGTTACGAGACATGGAGAGAACACCACAACGGTTACTGTCCAGTGCATGTTACGTGACATGGAGAGAACACCACAACGGTTACTGCCCAGTCTATGTTGCGAGTCATGAAAAAAAGATAATTCAAAACAAAACTGCCATTACCAATTATATTAGTTCGATTTACAGAAGGTTTATTTCAATGCCAGGAAAAGGCTCGAGAACTTAGTGACCTCTGGAAACATTGATATAAAAAAAAAAAGGGAGAAGGGGAGAAAGCCAAGAGATAACTATGCTAATGGTTTGGCCAAATGCATGGGGCGGTACAAAAGCACAACCAGGTCCAAGATTCTGCTCATCAGGTAGAGTGGCCAGCGACGACCGCCTGTGATTTTCTGCCTAACACATAATGAGGATGATGATGTTTTCAGGCAGCAGGGGCGTTGGGCGATTTTTATTTCACTGAAAAAAAAAAATTACGATGTCAACGAATACGAAATAACGGGGAGAAATCAATATAAACTATACATATTCTAAAAGTGAGAGAATTAAAAAAAATGTGATAGTAATTCTGGCAATGTACTTACCGCAGGCAGAGCAAAAAACGATATGCCCAGAATAGCTGAAAACGAAGCGATGACCTTGCCACCCCATGTAGCCGGAACTACGTCACCGTAGCCCACAGTGCAAAGCGTTACCTAGGGGGAGATAATATTCCGTCAGATAACAAATTACCACCAATCGTTTCATGGCAAGTAATCAAATAAAACAGGAGCCGCCGTGATGTAGCGGCTAGTCGCTCCTCTGTCAGTAAGAAGGCCATGTGTTCTAGTCCAGACGAAGCCGGACTATTTTCAAAAATACCACTGGTTCCCAGGTCAAACCAGCCTTAAATGGGCACTATGTACGGTCCGGGGAAGTAAAGGCGATCGGCGTTATGTTGAACACATCACACATAGAGTACCGATTGGTTTACAAAACATAGGTCTAGCCCTATGTGCACAGTACATCTAAAGGTGTGGAAAAAAAGCCCTTCACTTTAAAGAAGAAAACATTTAACAAACATAGACAAGTAAATATAAAAAAAAAAAAAAAAGCAAATATAATAATCATCATCACCTAGAAAACTGATGTGTCGTCTCCACATGGAAAGTTAGCTACAAACTGTTGTCTTTTGGAATATCCCGTTATGAGGCCCCAGTCTCTACTCTCGCACCATCGTCCAAAAACGATAAGGGCTTTTTGAATATTTATTCTTATTATGTAAAAGATCGATATCAGAATGTTGTTTTCATGAAGACTACAATTAAAACTATAAAACAAAATGATGTCTTGCTGAGTTCTCTAGCTCACGTATTGTCACGGTTGAGATGTCTGTCATATGCTGTATCCATATTTGTGCTGGTAAGCCTCTGCCGCATCTCCTTTAAACTACACTATTAAAGTTACATTGCCCGTGGGAACCTCAAACAGTGCCAGTGTATCGTCGATTGTGTGAACCTCAAACAGTACCAGTGTATCATTGCCCTGGGCACCTCAAACAGTGCCAGTGTATCATTGCCCTGGGAACCTCAAACAGTGCCAGTGTATCATTCCCCATAGGAACCTAAAACAGTGCCAGTGTATCATTGCCCGTGGGAACCTTAAACAGTGCCAGTGTACCATTGTCCGTGGGAACCTTAAACAGTGCCAGTGTATCATTGCCCGTGGGAACTTCAAACAGTGCCAGTGTATCATTGCCCGGGGGAACTTCAAACAGTGACAGTGTATCATTGACATGGGAACCTCAAACATTTCCAGTGTATCATTGCCCATGAGAACCTCAAACACTGCCAGTGTATCATTGCCCGTGGGAACAGAGGACAGTGCCAGTGTATCATCACCCGTGTGAATCCCAACTCGTGCTAGCGTATTATTGCCCATGAGAACATCAAACAGTGCCAGTGTATCATAGCCCGTGGGAACCTCAAACAGTGCCAGGGTATCATTGCCCGTGGGAACCTTAAACAGTGCCAGTGTATCATTGCCTGTGGGAACCGAGGACAGTGCCAGTGTATCATTGTCCGTGGGAACCTTAAACAGTACCAGTGTATCATTGCCCGTGGGAACCGAGGACAGTGCCTGTGTATCATTGTCCGTGTGAATCTCAACCAGTGCTAGTGTATCATTGCCCATAAGAACCTCAAACAGTGCTAATGTATCACCGCCTGTGAGAACCTCAAACAGTGCTAGTGTATCATCGCCAGTGGGAACCTCAAACAGAGCCAGTGTATCATCGAGTGTGTGAACCTCAGACAGTACCAGTGTATCATTGCCCGTGGGAACCTCAAACAGTGTCAGTGCATCATCCAAAACATTAAACCAGAACTATTTTATCGCTTTGCACGAATTGTTGAATATTAAAACTGATTCATTGCGCTCCATACATGAGTCCGGCGGCCATTCTGTCTGTCTGTCTGTCTGTCTGTCTGTCTGTCTGTCTGTCTGTCTGTCTGTCTGTCTGTCTGTCTGTCTGTCTGTCTGCGTAACTACCTACCTGTCTCTCAAGCTACCTATCTACATGTATGTATGTCCCTCTGCCTGCCTACCTACCTACCTGCTCATGTCTGTCTGTATATCTGAATATCTACTTGTCTGAGATATGCCTACCATTTCCCCCTGTCCTTTACCTAGTTATTTGATGCCAGCCTGTTTGTCCATACCTGACTATATATTAGTCTTCTGGGATTTGCTGCGCGCGCGCGCCTACACACACACACTCATACACACCCACTCACACACACACGTAGACACATACACCCAGCACACCTACACCGTATATGCATACTCATGGAACACAGTATATGCACACGCACACAGACACGAACAGCGTAAAACACACACAGGAAACAACTTACCACTCCCCACCAGATGGCGTCAGCGAAGTTGCTAAACTTGGGCTTGTATTCGGTGTTATTGAACTGGCTTTTGGGCCCGTTTTCTATTCTTGGTTCGTCTTTCTCGGCCAGGTAAACAAAATACGAGGAGAAGATAAGTCCTAGCAGTCCAATGTAGAGGGTGGTCACTAGCTCCTGCTCGCAAATCACAATTATGGCACCAATTATGAAACAACATGCAGACGAACTTTGAGATATAAAAATTGTTTTACATCAATGTGAGATAGCAGGAGCAGCAGACTGCAGTAGCAGCAGCAGTAGCAGCAGACAGCAGTAGCAGCAGCAGACTGTAGCAGCAGTAGCAGCAGACAGCAGCAGCAGCAGCAGCAGTAGCAGCAGCAGTAGTAGTAGCAGCAGACAGCAGTAGCAGCAGACAGCAGTAGCAGCAGACAGCAGTAGCAGCAGACAGCAGCAGCAGTAGCAGCAGTAGCAGCAGCAGTAGTAGTAGCAGCAGACAGCAGTAGCAGCAGCAGTAGTAGCAGTAGCAGCAGCAGTAGTAGCAGCATCAGCAGCATAATCAGCATAATCAGCATAATCAGAGCAACAATAACAAAAATAGCACCAATGATGGAATTATATGCAGACGAAACTTGAACTGTAAGAAAATTTTACGTGAATCTGAGAAAGCAGCAGCAGCAGTTTGGAAAGCAGTGGAGAGAAACTGCACCTAGCAAACATGTCGTAGGAGTCGACTAATTAGGTGTGTTTCCTTCAAAGTCAGAGTGCATCTGCCCAAGAGTCAAGGAACCAAGAGTCTGCATACAAACATGCTAGATTTGTAAAACGGAAGTGCACGCAAAACTCAAGCTCTGGATAAAGATCAAAGCCCAGGAGTGGACGAACACATTTAACTGTCCACCAGAGTTTACATCAAGTGTATAGCAATGATGATGATGATGATGATGATGATAATAATAAGTTAGTCGAATTTTCAACTTTACTGTAAACGGGTAACACCCATAATTGATCCAATCCTGTGTACGCTAAAACAAAACACACAATACAGAAAGCCCATCACTATTCCTGGTGAAAAATAAAACTGAGACAAGTTACAGTCTTGGCAAAGCATGTAAAGGAAGGAAGACACCGTAAGTGCCAACACAAACAATCCGCTACTAGAATCGCAATTCATCGGTAATGGAAGTATCTGGTATAATTAGTGTTCTTTCAACTCGAGTGACTAAAGAAGTAAAGAACACTTTCCAATTGGGCATATAGGGCTAGATTCACGTTGTTATAGACCAGATGGCTGTATGATATGGTTTACAACACGCCGGCTACTTTTATTTCCCAAGTATTTTTCTGTGTCAATTTAGATTCATTCAACATATGAGACCAGTCGCTTGCAGAACACAATCAATAAAATACACCCAAGTGAGGGATACCACAGACAGAAAACAGGTGGGGTCGGGGCGGGGGCGGGGTCATATCCCACTCCAGGATGATGTGTGTACGAATAAATCCCCAAAGATGTGAACCAAACAGGAACTAATCCCAGAAAACCAGTTCAACAGTTATATTAGGACACTTCTATAGTTAAAAGTTACCTGCAGTCCAATGTGTCGGGTGGGGGGGGGGGGGGGGGGGTGAAAATAGTCAGAAGGGAGGGGAAAAATTTAACAGAAATCAACAACAGCATAAACTAACCAACAACACTACGATTAAAACAATAACAGCAACAGAAGCAAATCAGCAACAGTAAAAGCACACCAACAACAGCGCAAACAAACTACAGCTCGAACAAATCAACACAAACCAACAACAGCACAAACAAATCAACGATAACACAAACGAATTAACCCACACACAAACCAACAACAGCAAAAACAGTTGAACACAGTCAAAAAAAGCTAAATCACTAGCAAACCAACAAGAAGCTCGTGGCGCCTGTGTGACGTACAATGGTTTAAGCACATCACCACAGAAACACCCCTTCTTCTACTAGACCTCTTCAAATATCCCAAAACTATTTAAACACCCCTTTTTCTACTGGAGCTCTTCTAAATACCGCAAACAGCACGGAGGAAACACCTATTCTTCACCTGCAACTCGTCTAAACACCACAGCACTGCAGAAACACCTATCAGTCACCTTAAGTTATTCACACTCAAAAGAAAGAACCCACCTGTCTGTGTGCCCAAACCACAGAACCCAACAGTTTCCAGCTGCCCCCCTTTCTGTCCATCCGAACCATGCGGAGGATCTGGAAGAAGCGAAGACCACTGAGAACAGCCTGGGAGAAGTGTTCTTGAGTGGATCCAACAATCAGGGAGCTGACGCTGGCTAGTACCAGGATCATGTCTGAGAAGAGAGAGGGATATGGGATATTGGAGTTACTGAGTGTTGGCACACTTACAGATCACTGCGTATCTTTTACAATTTTGTATTTGTTGTTGTTTATGTTTATACACGCGCACCAGGTCTGTGTGTGTGTCCACACACACACACACACACACACACACACACACACATATATATATATATTTATATATATAATGTGTGTGTGTGTGTGTGTGTGTGTGTGGGGGTGTGGGTGTATTTGTGGGTGGCGAAGCGTGCATGTAATGATTGTAATCGTATTATATTTTAATAACGCTACCTCAGCTATTTTCATTTGTTTTGGGCGAATTTGTTTGTTACTTAGTAGTACGGTAGTAAGCTTTACTTTCAGTTGTTTAAAAAACGAAAAGCTTTTTTTAAAAGTCTTAAAAATACTATTTAAACGACCACTTATACAAAGACACAAGTATATGTTGCGTGTTCTAGAGTCGCCAAACCAGACTATATCTGCTCAGACATTGATTGTGACATTACCCATATTAGACAGTGCGCTTTCTATTTTCTTTCTTTTCTATTTAGCCAGACTGAGCCACAGCAACGCGTGGCCGGGTACAGCTAGTAAATAATAAAATAATACAGGGTACTTCCACTGTCACCTGTAAATGATCGTAAGTGGAACAGTTCGGGTTTGGTATTTTTGGCCAAGTCACACGCTTTGGGGGAGAGGGGTGGGGGAGAGGGGTGGGGGAGAGGGGTGGGGGAATGGGGAGGGGGGGGGGTCCAGGTCAAAGTGACGTAGGGGCTTTTTTTTTTAGATCAGAGATCTAGATCGTCTCGTGGCTCGTTGGGAAAGGTAAACGCATGTTATTTACCTGACACGGGTGTGACTTTATACAATAGTAGGTAAATAAAAACACGGGCATAGTCAAATGCAACGTTGTGTAAAAATGTCAAAGCAATCGGTGAAGAACTGTTGGAGATGAACGATGAGGAACAAACGAACAGACATTTTTATTTACATAGATTACGACTGTTTACTTTTATTGTAAAAACGCCACTCGATTGACGTCACAAGCATAGCGAAGAGAACGCTCGCTGTGTGCCTTCGCAACTGAGGCAGACACGAGTAAAAGCTACCAGTTACTAGTAATACAATACTAGCTACGCAAGCATTCTTCCAACAGCGAGGAAATTTTACGTTCAGTAGTTTGCCATTGGTCACTAAAGGGTCGGCACACCATACTATTGTCTACAACCCAGTCCGGTAGATTTTCTCAGTATCGTGCAACTCTTCGAAATGCCGCTCCTAATAGCTTCGCGCTGTCAGAGCAAAAGTTCAAACTGTATTTTGATTTCGCTGCTTATGCCGCCCCTTTTACGGTGCAGCCTGAAGCAGTCGCCGCCCTGTACCACAGCACCGCATGGCCCTGATTGTCGAAAACAACACAAAACTCTCTGCTGTCAAACTGCTTGCAGCTGAATCAAACAGGGTATGTCTGAATTCTGAACCGCGTTTGGTAACCCGTAAGCCACTGCATCGATGCTAAAGAAGATTAGATAACAGAGGCGACTTGACGGATGTGTCTTAGGTGTTGACAACAGTGTTCACAGGTGCACAGGCTACTTGTAGGGTATCTTAATACACTGATTACAAGGGGAAAGATGAGGGGTGTAGAAAAGCAAAGAAGAAGTGCTGACGATTGTGGTGGAAGAGGAGGAGAGGGAGGAGAAGAAGACAAAGAAGAAGAAGAAGATGACAAATGGGAAAAAGGAGGGGAGGATAACAAGCAGAAAAACATTAATATTGTTTTAAGAATTTATATTATAACACTCGGGGCATTCCCATAATTGCTCCTTCCACATCTTCATCAGCATGCACAGAGAGTAACTCTCTGAATGTACATCTGTCTCGCCTTTCTCCTTATTGTTAAACATCGACCAGATCCTCTGGTAACTCCTCACAGCGCCATTCTCCTCAGACCGTAATTATATATTTGTGCCTCCGCACTGTTCACTCGCTCCAAAAAGGCCCATACAACATCTAGCTTGTCATACATCAATTCACCAACAAGTGGTGGAGAACCAGCCAGTCTATCCCTCTGATCGTTTTCCAACACACTAGCATAACTTGGAGAAAATATCCAAAGGACGCTAACTAACAGGGACCTCTGAAGCAATGTTTGCCAATCTGCACTGAGCTTACCTATCTAAACCTTTCTCAACATACTATGTGAGTCCGTTACAATTGCGACATGAGTGTACAGCTGATTCTCAAACCAGCGGAAGGCTGCAGTGACTGCCTCCACCTCCATTCTCAAACTAGTCGTTGTGATATCACATGCCAAGCTTTGTTGTATTAAAACAGAGGATGAACAATAGCATTCAGAGGAAGACACAGCTGTAACCAAAATACAGACTTCAAAACCACAACAAAAAGCAAACCTATAAGACAGAGTGGTCGTCTCAAGAACCGCAGTCTCCCAGATTTTCCTTGGTAGCGGGACCGACATCCAGCCGACCACACCCGGAGACCCAGCTCCAGGAGAATCCATAGCAACATCACGATCTCCTGTAAGCGAAAGACCAATCTTTGAGTTAGCTTCTAAGATATTCCGTTATCATAGTAAAGACCATTGGCACACCTTTGGTGCATTGAACAGACAGTGCAAGATTTATTACTAAAATATTGGTCAATCGACAGTACCCGTTTGGGTTCCGGGGCCATTTCATAGGGAAAACAAGAACAGACCCACTGCCTACCCAAAAGCATGTCGTAAGAGTCGACTAATTAGGAGCTTCCTTCGAAGTCGGAGTGCATCTGTCGGAGAGGCAAGGAAACAGCAGTCTGCATGCAAATGAGTCAGATCTGTAAAACGAATAAACCCGCAACACTCAGGTTCTGTGACAGGACTGCAGTCCAAAAGGGGATGAACAACCAAAACATTATGCCAGAGTTTACTGCTGATGAACGCGAAGAAGAGGAAGAAATATCTACAGTCGATGAGTGATATGGTCGACATCGACTCTGGCTGCCTTTACCTCCAGTAACATTACCTGCTACAAAATTTTGCCCAAATCAACATATGAGCCAACGTAGCTTCTGGGGGACAAAATTACCTGCCTGTGGGTGTAAACCCCAAACTGTCGGGCTGGCAGGCGAGCACCTAGCTATCAAGATAGCACTGCTTTTTATAAAGTCTATGGGTGTAGTATGAGGCACTTGTTATCAGAAGAAGCATGTCGTAGCAGAAATGTGATATTTATTATATATTTATTTGAATAATGTTCTGCTGTGATGTATTTAAAATAGCTCTAGTTAAAGAGTGGCTTTTCTGTGCCACTGTGGCATTTAGAGAAGGTCCAGTTGGAGAAGAATGAGTGTTCCAGTGAGGCTGTGATAATTAGAAGAGTTCTTGTTTCGGGGATTTGGTGTCGTTTAGTAAAGCTCCAGGCGAAAAATTGGTGTTTCCGTGATGCTCTGGTTAAGAGGAGCTTCAGGTGAAAAAATAGATGTTTATGTGGACATTTGCTATCATAATACCTCTTGTAAAATAATAGGCTTTTTAATGTAGTAGTTGTTGTTGTGTTGTGCTTGAGACATTTTTCATCACACACAAAAGGCGTTGGTTTCTTTTTGAGATTTTCATTTACATTTATAGAAATCATTTTTCAAACTGCCTAGTTCGTGTTCTGCATGGTGGACATAAATCCGGAATAATGATATTGTTCCTGGTAATGATGCTGCTGCTTTCAAGCGTCTTTATTTTTTTTCTGGCTTCCAGTCTAGGGTTTCTATATTCCAGCTAGAGCATCATTACTCCATGAGGCCTTGTCGCAGACGTGCACAGCCACCAACTTGGAAACAAACGCAACTATCTACAATTAAAAACGCATAACGGCGCTCAGGTTACGATGAAGACTCTGTCAGTTTATTCATCACGATTCTCACACTTCTTTCATTCACAGTTTATTTATCCCGATTCTCAAACTTCTCAGTCACAGTTTATTTATCCCGATTCTCAAACTTCTCAGCCACAGTTTATTCAGTCACAGCTATCACTGCTCGCTTACACAATAATCCTACAATAATCATTTACATGACACTTAATAAATTTCAGTGAAACAACATCAACTGTCTTCCCCAAACTCTGGTACCCAAATGACCAAGAGCCTAACTCTGGTACCCAACAGACCAAGAGCCAAACTCTGGTACCCAAAAGACCAAGAGCCTAACTCTGGTACCCAACAGACCAAGAGCCAAACTCTGGTATCCAACAGACCAAGAGCCAAACTTTGGCACCCAACAGACCAAGAGCCAAACTCTGGTACCCAACAGACCAAGAGCCAAACTCTGGTACCCAACAGACCAAGAGCCAAACTCTGGTACCCAACAGACCAAGAGCCAAACTCTGGTACCCAACAGACCAAGAGCCAAACTCTGGTACCCAACAGACCAAGAGCCAAACTCTGGTACCCAAATGACCAGGAGCCAAACTCTGGTACCCAACAGACCAAGAGCCAAACTCTGGTACCCAAATGACCAGGAGCCAAACTCTGGTACCCAACAGACCAAGAGCCAAACTCTGGTACCCAAATGACCAGGAGCCTAACACGGATGTTTTCCTTTTCCCTTGTTCCTCTCTCCAGCCACAAGTATCATGTGCCGTGGTGTCTTGCCTGGGTGTTCTGCTCAGCTTTCTGTGACCGGTGGCCACCACGCAAAGCACGGTCATCACATTCCTCTTATGTGTAATCAATATTAATCATTTACCGAGGGAGTCGTCGTGGTGTAGTGATCCGCCTGTGGATCAGAAGGTAGTGGGTTCGAGTTCTGAGGGAGCTGGATTAAAAAGAAAAAATGACTTTAACTCCCAGGTCGACCCAGCCTCGAGTGCAGTCCTGGAAAGTAGAGGCGGCCGGCGTGAAGCTTACCACATCATCAATCAAGTGCCGATTGCTCTATAAAAATATACGCCTAGCCCTTTATTCCCAAAAACACCTAAAGGCTTGAACAATTTACATTTTTTTTTTTACTTTAATCTTATAATGAGGAAGAAAATTAATAAAACCATAAATAAATAAATAAGAAGAAGAAGAAGAAGAAAATAGATAATATATAACCTTAGGCGGATTCTTCACTAAATACCTCATCATGTATTAGCTCCCGAGGAAACGGGCAAACAAGAACGTAGAGAACATTTAAAACGACAAAGAAACTTTTTCCAGAAAGGCAGATTTTAAAAAGTTCCTAACACTGAAAGATGAGATAAAATATCATTTCGCCTAGAACTTTCTTAATTCACTGAGTTTTCATTCGTTGCTCAACTGTTGGTGGTATTCGATGGCAGGTGTTTGAAAACCCATCGCCGTAACTAGGGAGCTCTGTAACTGTGCTCTGACGACTACCACCAACTTACTACTCTCAGTCAGTGTTGCCACTTTTCTTTGACAAAAAAAATATCCAAAATGGAGTCAAAAAATATCTAAAAACATCTAAATTTGCGTAAAACAATTTAGGAAAAAAAAAAAACATCCAAATAGAAAGAGTCACAAATTACATAGCTATTGACATTACTTACCCTAAAGAATCATGTCCTAATCTTTACTGAAGTTTGCCTTACAAGATCCTCAGGATAAACTTAGTTTAAATGATAAAACTGAAGCTTAGGATCCACAATGACTCTGGTATGCTTTAGCTGTTCCAATTTCTTTTAATACACAGTCAGGGAACTGATAAGTGGAACAGCCTTTTCCTACTCTTATCAGGCCGCATTTTATTGTCAAGATAGCATTTAAGAGGTCAAATTTCATCCTGTTTCTTATGTTAGATTTGATAAATTTACTCCAAATGAAAAACTTCTAGAAAAATATCTACCATCTAAACGTCAAAAACGCCATCTAAATGCAAGGAAAAACATCTGAATCTGAATGTAAAACATCCAAAGTGGCAACACTGATCTCAATTCTTTTGCATCAACACAGCGACGTGGAAGGCTGCTGGACAAGACCGTTCTGGATGGCGTACTTCCTTCAGGTTGCACAGGCAGAGACACGGAGGCAGACTAGAAAGAATCGTACCGCTAATCCCACACTTACTGCGGCTTCCACCTGTTGTCCGCACTGCTCAAGAATTTTCCAGGCTCATTTTGGACCAATCAGCCACCTTCGCACTCATAATCATTGAACATTACTACTTTGGATGAATAGAGGTCTTCATCACTCGTGATAAACGAACAACCACCTACTCACTGGAGCGACTCGGAACCTCGAGACTTTAAGTCGGTTCTCGCGCCCTTACATATACTACAATTTCGATTCCTGTTTAATATTAGCTATTTACTGAACTGTCTTCCTGCCTTCTCCCCAATTATGTGTGTTACTGTTTTAGACTTTTACCAGGAAAGTCTGGTTCGAACAGCTGTTAAACAGACTGGCGGGAAGACGCTGATTAGAACAGCTGGGCTGGAACACTGTGGTTAGCACAGTCTGGTTAGAATAGGTTAATATGAAAAAGCTGGCTAGAAGAGTCTGATTAGAACAGGCTAATTAGAACAGGCTGGTTAGAACAGGCTGGTTAGAAGAGGCTGGTTAGAACAGGCTGGTTATAACAGGCTGGTTAGAATAGGCTGGTTAGAACAGGCTGGTTAGAACAGGCTGGTTAGAACAGGCTGGTTAGAACAGACTGGTTAGAACAGGCTGGTTAGAACGGGCTGGTTAGAACAGGCTTGTTAGAACAGGCTGGTTAGAACAGGCTGGTTAGAATAGCTTGGATAGAACAGTGTCGTTGGAAAGACTGGTAAGATCAGTCTGATTAGAACAGCTGGGCTGGAACACTGTAGTTAGCACAGTCTGGTTAGAACAGGTTGATATAAAAAAAAGCTGGTTAGAAGACTGGTTATAAGAGGCTGGTTAAAACAGGCTGTTTAGAACAGGCTGGTGAGAACAGACTGGTAAGATCAGTCTGATTAGAACAGTCTGGAAAAAACATCTGGTTAGACAGCACAAATAAAGTAATTACACGACCACTATTTTCTGTAAAAAAATATTCGTATTCTGCCTTTTACGATTCGAATCGAGCATAGATCCAACACCACCGTACGCCAAATCCTTCGCGGAATTTCACAAGATGTGGTTGTATGTTTCAGCTAAAGCTTTCTAGTGGGAGGAATAACAGTCTCACGCTAATTCTTGTTGCCTCTTACGGCATGCTTTAGGCGATAGCGTTATGATTTTTTTTTTCTATAAGTGCGTGAAAAGTTAAAAAAAATATCTCTACCTATTATCTTTAATTTAATTCTCTGCTTTATACTTGTCTGTCTGTCTTTGCTTCATTCTACTTGTCTTTATTGCTGGTCTTCCATCTGTCTACAACAACAAAGAATCGCCTTGATTCCTTGATCTTTTCCCCGTACAAAAAACATACGGTATCGAGATAAATACTCGCATTTCGTGTCCGGGTATCGGGCGATCGATCACGTGATATTTACCTTGGTAATCGCGGAGACAAACATTACTGGACACATCTGTCTGGTGTCCTGTCCTCACTTGGTCTTGCGTTGTCTGTCTCTG